AGCAGGTGTGGATTGGGTGGAACTGCAACAAAGGACGTTGGAGGGCGAAGGCCCAGTTTGTCTTTGTCAAAAGCTGCCTCACTCAGAGCTGGGAGCTGAGTGCTGACCTCTAGTGGGGCCACTCAGGCCTAGGATGTCTTCCTTTCCTGCACCAAGTAGACATCAACATACAGATCAGCGGCACCTTCTACATTGGTCCTGGGCCAGGGTCCCAAAGTCCCCTTGCTCTGGACAAAGCAGAGCAGACACTGTAGATCAGGATCTTGGGGACTCCCAGCCTCTCTCTGCTGGCTTCATACGGTATAGGTGTAGTCTCTGGTTGCTCATGGTACCAGGTCTACATTGGGCCTCCCTGAGGGTGGAAACTGCATATCCTAGCCTGTATCCTTGTGCCAAGGTGCACCTGGGCTTCTGTGGACATCTTACTGGACAGTGCTGGATTTCTTGACTTGACTCTAACACTGTCTGGTAACGATGTTCAAAGATGACCCACCACTCACCAAAGACAGGCTAAAGATGCACGGTCCTAGCTCCTGGACTCCAAAAACACCAAGGCTAAGGATGTGCTGCATTGGCAAAGACCTTGTCTTAGCTCCACGGCCAAGCAGTTCAATGGAGTCTCGACTCTCCCTAGGGTGGGAACCCCCATCTATCATTTCATGCTGGGGCAAGGGTGGTTCTGCCCTGACAGGGGCCCTGGGATTGAGGCAACCTGTCCCTCACTCTCAAAGCAGTCATGCCCACCTTTCATAACTCCTCTGCTGGTTGGGTTTGGGGATACACTGACTCCTGGAAAGACTTTTGGGGCTAGAATGCTGAGCCGAGGGGAGGTATGGTGGGCAGTGGGCTCTCTAACCAGCACTGTTTAGTATAAAGACACTCTTACCACAGGTGCCCATGAAACCAGAGGGCAAGGGTGAGTTCAGGTACCTGAGCCTGATACCTAGCAGTATGAATGTCACCAACTGTTTCGTGATCAGGGACAAGGAATCTCCATTCTCTCCCAATGGCTGGCAGGAACAGGAAGGTTGCTTAAAACCACAGTCCAGGACTGCCTATTGTTTTATCGTTTTGATCTGAAGCCAGGGTACAGGGTCTGGGAACCCCACCCAACATGAGCCCATGTGGCCTCTCCTTGGGGAGGGGGCAGAGGCAGGAGTCTGTTCCTGGCCTCAACATTACTCATTAACCTGACAGGTTCATTCAGAAAACCAGCAAGGTGCTGTGATGAGCATTTGCCCAATAATAGTGAGGAGTGACCAAATATGCTTCCCTGTTGCACCCACAGACCCATAACCTGGGGGCTAGACACTGGCCTAGGTCCTGATATGAAAGTTCTCAGAGCAACCCCAGGTCCTGGGACCCAACCAACTCCAGAAATGGCCCTTGAATCAGCACTAGAGATGCAGAAAGGTGAGGGGCCAGGGCAGGCAGGGGGCAGTCCCCACCTTTCCTCCACAGGTATCGGACCAGGAATCACTGCCCAGATGTGGAGGCTGCACAACTGCCTATCGATGGATGTCTTACCAGACATGGTTAGATCTGGATGCCTCTGTCTAATACTGTCTGGTAATGCCGTTCATCCACGGCCTGATCATCACTGCAGAGGACACCCTCGCCACCTCATGGAGACCTTGTTGGACATGGGAGAAGCAAGGCCTTAGTCCATCTAGTACAAATGTCCAGACCTGGGGCCCTCATTACCCTACCCCCACCCAGAACAAGCCATAGCCCAAGCCCACAGGGACCAACCCCTAGGGCCTGCCTGCTTCCCTCTGACCCCGTGGTGGCTTTCTGTCATCGGCACAGTAGATGTTGGTGTAATAACAACATAAGGCCCCAAGGCCTCTGTATCTGTCCTTCTCAAGGAGTGTTCAGTGAGGCTGTCACAGTGCTGTTGGACCCCACAACCCAGTGGGCTCGCATCAAAGTCAGTTGGTGCCTGCAGATGTGGCAATCCCTGTGCTGTCAGCCCTGGCATGGGGCCAAAGGAGACCCAAATCCCTGAATCTTGGTCCTCAGTGTTTTCCCCACCTATTTCAGGTCAAGGGTGCCAAGGAAAACAAAAACAGACCTAGTCACTGTGTCCAAACCCAGGGTGGGAAAGAGGAAACATGGGCTGCAAGGGTAGGGGCACAGCTCGGGTGCCAGAGTAGGTGACAGTAACTCAAACCCAGGGAAAGTAGATATTCCAAAGGTTGCATAGCCTGTGCATTACCAGCCTGCTCCTGGGCCGTGCCTCTGCAGCCCACCTCCAGCTTTACCCCACTGATGCTCTAGGAACTATCTCTCAGCCTAGCTCTGGATGCCAAATACTCCAGCCTTAAAGCTTATTCCCCTCTGAGAATTTTCGATAGATCCTTTGCAGAACTGTCGGGCAACTCTAAAATGATTCCTAACTCATGTCATTTGCGGAATGAGCAACATATATTTTGCTATGATAAAAACTTTGAACCTCCTCCCTTGGGAATGTTTATCCTACTTCTCAGACCCCATATGTAAGCCATTTACCTCAACACAGGCTGGACCCTGCAGGGTCAAGGCCTACCCCACCCACCCACTGCCCTCTAGAGTTGAGGGACTTGACATGCCCTTACAGGCCCCCTGCTGCTGGTCAGGCCATTCACTTGAGAAAACCATTCATAGGTGATTGGACTTCACTTCCCACAGAGGCTTGCTCTGCCACAAGTGAACAACTAGATCCTGTACTAGAGGTTCTATGGTTGAGGCACCTGTCTGCCCAGTGTGTTCCCTATGATGAGTGTTCTTATCGTTCCCTCTTGAAGTACTGTGAATAACAACAACAACAACAAAAAAACATAAAACAACAAAAACCCTAAAGTAATAAACAGTATGATTTCTAAAATACTTTGATCACCTTATTTTAATCATACAAATGCTGACAGGTAGCTTTGCAAAGGATTGGGCTGATGACACGGGTTCCAAGGGTATGTACTCCCATCAGAGAGGAGCAAACGCCTGCAGAAGAGAGACATGGGGCCCACTGTCCCCAGCCAGTCACCACAAAGTTGGCATTGGGTCCTTTGTAATAATACCCCAGAATGTACCAAAGGTAGGGTGATTCATGAACATGAGGCTCCCCCTCCCAGTCAAGAGTGATCACTGGAGTGAGGGATGGACATGTACTTTATACCCCAGAGTCAATGACTGCTAAGCCAACTGCCCAGAGCTTCCCCAGACCAGAACTGGGCGTAACATGGCTCCAGGTCCAGGTTGGGAGCCCTAACCACTCAGTCCAGGGCTTAGTAGAGGGGGCAGTCTGCCCCAGACCAACTGTAGCCCCACCCTACTGGGCTGGGGCAGAAAGGTTTCCTGGGCTAGCACTGGGCTGACCACAAAGGCCTCTGCCCCTAGCACAGCAGAGAAAGGGCAGGGTTAATGATAGGAAGCAGTCCCCACAAACAGCAAGTAGAGAGTGGTAGCCCATGGGACACTCTTATTCCCACAGAACTCTGGACACAGCTGACAGATGGTGTCCCTCCAGTCATGCTCGGCACAACTTCCCATCCTGGTAGCTTAGACTGGGGAAAGAGCCTCAAGGGAGGAGTTGCATGGGTAGAGAAGAGAGGCTGATGAATCTCCCTAGCACAGGCAGTGCCACATGGAACCCCATAGGTGAAGAGGAATAGAGGATGGCCTACAACAAGGAAAGTTTATTTTCTCACTGTTCTGGAAGCCAGAAGTCCGAAATAGAAACGTCTAGCAAAAACAGTAGAGATGTCACATACCCATCAAGGCTCTAGAGGGCGCCCTTGTGCTTTCTTCAGTTCTCAGTGGCGCCCACATCTGTGGCTTGTGGCCACGGTCCCATAACTCTGCTTCCCTCTGAGGAGGGTGTTAGTCATCGGGTTTAGAGCCCACCTACTTAATCTAGGATGGTCACACCTGAAATTCTAACTCAATTACATCTGCACAGACCTTTGATAGAGTCCCATCTTTTGAGAACATGGTACACTCTCCCTGCCCTACCCTAGGGATCCCTACAAGGCTCTGAAGGGTAACAGGAATGCAGGGCCCTTATAGTTGGAGACTTGGGGTCAGAAGTAGGAGTCACACTAGGTTCCAGGAGCCTCAGCAAGAAGCTAGACAAGCTGGTACCAAGAGCTACTTTGAGCTATTTGTGGTATTAGGTCCCAGAGCACTGGGCCTGGATTGAGAAATTCCTGAGAAGGTTCAGTATGATTCTGGGAGAATTCATGGAGAAGGGAGGGTTGTGCCCCAGGTTCAGACACAGGACCCCAATTCAGCCTCAGGTCCCTCCAGTCTCTACTGAACCAGCTTGACCCCCTCACTCTCTACCTCTTGCTTTGTCCAACTTCCCTGAAGATGATCCTCAGCTCACCATAGATCCTTTCACCATCCACCTAAAGCCCTTGTTTACCTCTGGGTGATTGCTGGATCATAGTTGCCTGGAGACAGTTGCCAGGTCACCACTGTTGTATCCTGGCAGAGGGTTCCTAAGACCTTGTAGGGCAGGTAAGAGAGACAGGCTGGCCACAGCTGAAGGTTCTGACTAGGGCTGAGGCTAGGTCGTTGCTCTCCTGTACCCCTTTTGTGGCCCTTTCCAAAAGCAGACAAACAGGGAAGGGGACCGGGCAGAGACTGGGCAGCTTGACTGAGCTCGGCCCTCTACCAAGGCCACCCCCTCTCCAGACCCTGGTGTCTCAGCCAAGAAGGGCATGCCCTATGGGTTGGGGCTGGCCTCATGTGGGCAATTCAAATTCTGGGGAGAGCTGGGACCCCTCAGGATGAGCTCTTCACCTAGGGCCATGTCTGTCTCCCCAGAACTGACTCCTCAGAAGGGCCGCCTCCTGAGATCCGCAGAGAATGCATCCCCAGACAGTGAGCGCTGCTCGGGAGGCACCAGCCCTTCAAAACATGTCCGCGCCTTCTCAGAACCCTGTGTTGCCAAATGTGTATATGGGGAAAACTTCAGCAGGACACTGACATGTGGTCATTTTCTTGGCCATCTTCTTCAGGTTTAAACTTATCTCCTGCCCATTGTACCAGAGTGTGATTTCCTGCTGTTTTTTTTATCTGACCAGGTAAAAAGTTCATTTAAAATTTATTATAAAGTCATGAAGCTGCTGGGTGTGGCAGCGCACACCTTTAATCCCAGCGCTTGGAAGGCAGAGGCAGGCAGATCTCTGTGAGTTAAGGACCAGCCTGGTCTACATAGCAAGTTCCAGGCCAGCTGGAACTACAAAGGAGACCCTATCTCAAAAAGACCAGAAAAATAAAAGTCATGAAGCTTCTGTCTGGCCCTTTGGAGGCCAAGTCATGAAGCTTCTGTCTGGCTCATCTGGAGCTTTCCCTTAACCTTTATGTAAGATTCATGACCATGTGGTTTGCTCAGTCTTTGGACAGCTTACTTCCTGACCTCAGCATTAGAAAAAGTGACTGAAATCACCTCTACTATGAAACTTCCTTTCTAGAAGGGTGTGCTTTCTGAATTTCTTCTTCAGAGACACTCTGAAACATGCTTATTAGACATGAGCAACAGCTGGCAGCCTTCTAGGAGTTTAGGTGCTGCATCCTAGCCCTTCTCTTTGTCAGACGTCATACTCTTGTACTGGGCTTTCTATGAAGTTTTTGTCCCAACTTATGTAGCTGAAGATGGCCTTGAACTTCTAATCGTCCTGCCTCTTTCAAGTGCTTGGATTATAGATGTGTACTACCATGGTTGGGGATCAGATCCAGGCCTTTATGCATGCTATACGTGCACTCTACCAACTGAACTATATCCTCATTCCTTGTTTTTTGTTTTGGGGTATTTTTGGTTTTTTTTTCTTTTGTTTTTTTTCTTTTGTTTTTTGTTTTGTTTTGTTGAGACAAGGTCTCACTGTCTCAGTGAGACCTATATACCTATATACTGTCTCAGTGAGACCTATATAATACCTGATCAGCTGACCATCATCACATGGTTGCTGTCCTGTCCTGGCCCTTTCTTTGCTGCCTACTTTGTCTATCCACAAACAGCTTTCTTCTTTGGAGGTGACCTGCTCCCATTCAAGGTCTTCAGTTTATCCTTCCCTTCTTAGTCACAGGGCTCTGTGTGCCATTTCTCCACTTACTCCCCTCCAAGACACATGTAGTTTCCTTGTATTATGTGAAGGATTTAGAAAGCCCTTGCCCAAAAAACTAGGTTTGCTTGCTTGATGTGAGACAGAAAAGACTTGACAAGGTCCTGGCTGGTCTGCAGCTCACTATGTAGACCAGGCTGCCCTTGAATTCAGAGATCTGCCTGCCTCTGAGAGCTGGGATTAAAGGTGTATGCCACCATGCCTGGGCCAGCCCTTGTTTTATTTTTGCTTTTTTTTTTTTTTTTTTTTTTTTTTTTTTTTGGTCTTTTTGAGACAGGGCCTCCCTGTAGCCCCAGCTGTCCTGGAACTCACTATGTAGACCGGGCTGGCCTCGAACTCACAAAGATCCACCTGCCTCTGCCTCCCAAGTGCTGGGATTAAGGGCGTGCGCTACCACGCCCAGCCTTTTTTTTTTTTTTAACATTTTATTATTTTTATTTTATGTGTACAAGTATATTTCCTGCATGTATGTGAGTGCGCCCGTGTCGTGCAATGCCACGGAGGTCAGAGGAGGGCTTCGGATTCCCCTGGAACTGGAGTTAAGGACGGTTCATAGCAGCCATGTGGGTGCTAGGAATCGAACCCGGGTCCTCTGCAAGAGTAGTCAGTGCTTTTAACTGCTGAGCCATCTCTCCAGCCCCTATTTTGTTTTTTTCTGAAGCAAGGTCTCACTATAGGGCCCAGTCTAGCCTCACGTTCCAGGCAATCCTCCTGCCCTCAGCCTCCCGAGGGCTGGGATTATAAGCAGGTGCCAATATGCGCAGCTCAGTTTTTGTCAATTTGAATGACAAGAAATAATCCCTAGCTGAATTCATTCTTTCTGAAAATAACAAGAATATGAAGTTAAGAAATCGAATAGAGGCATAAGGTTTACAAGGAAAACAGTGCATCTCCCTCTGGAGGCAGAAGAGTGGAGGAATGGATGGAAAGATTAAGCTGCTGTTTTCCTTATAAGCCTTCACTTCAAATAGACATTTTACTCACTATTTCTAAATAGCCTTTGACAGTAATGTTGCTTGTAGAAGTGACTGGTACTTTATTTCTTGCTGCCCCATTTTTACTGTCCCTATGTAGACTATACCCACACTCTAGCTGAGCAGCCACCCCTGATGGCTCCACACAGCAAGGTTTTCTCTAAAGTGGGTATGGCCTTCTGGTATACACACTAGTTTTCCTTAGTTGTGCCCAAGCACTGATTCTCCTGGCACTGTGCGGCTGTTGCCCTGTTGTGCACTTCCTGAGCAACTTCCTTCCTCATGTTGATATGCTCTGGGTAGAACATAGCACCATGTCAGGCTTTTATTACTCCCAGTCCATTTGCAAGTAATAAAACTGAGGTATGATGCCGGGCATGGTGGCGCACGCCTTTAATCCCAGCACTCCGGAGGCAGAGGCAGGCAGATCTCTGTGTGTTCAAGGCCAGCCTGGTCTACATAGTGAGTTCCAGGACAGCTGGGGCTACAGGGAGGCCCTGTCTCAAAAAGACCAAAAAAAAAACAAAAAAACTGAGGTATGAACGATCACGTAACAGACTGGAGAACTCTGGTTGGCCACAGGACTCCTCTCCTCCCCAACTTCCAGCTGTATGTAGTTTCCTGTCTTTCCTCACCTCTCAACAGTCTGTGGCTCTTGATGTGGGTTTGAATTTGGTTTTGATGTTTTTTTGTTTTGTTTTGTTTGTTTTAACCAGGGTCTCCCTGTAGCTCCAGCTAGCCTGTAACTCGCTATGTAGCCCAGGATGGCCTCGAACTCACAGAGGTTGGTCTGCCTCTGACTCCTGGGTGCTGGGATTAAAAGCATGTACCACTATGTCTGGCTTGGTTTGATGTTTGAGCTCTGACCCCAGTTCTTCCTGTGTAATTTCCTGGATGTGAGTTCTGACCTTTGTATTGCATGTTTAGTTTCCATGGGCTCTTTCCTGTTCTGATAGCACCCAACTCCGTTTTGGGATTCAGCATCTTCCCAACCCCAGAACATATTCTAGGGGTGATCTGGGTTCCTTCAGGTACCACATCATCTCTACCCCACTTTTCTCTTCCTCTGTGTGTGTCCATGTATCCCTCTGGTTTGCCTAGGAAGCCTCCTCAGATCTTCCTGGAACAAGGCTGCCACTTAATTCTGAATGCCAGGGTCTTGGGGTCGAATGCCCACAGCAGGTCTCCTCAAACATGCTGCTGGGTTCTGGGAACTTAGTATGAATGAACTGGGGTTTCCCAGTAATTGCAGAGTCACACAACCGTACCCACATCCCTGCCCAATCTTCAAGCTCCTCAGCCTACCTCAGCCTCTTCCTAGAAGTCCTCCTATTCTGAGTGAGAAAGGGTTTCCAGATACTCCTGATTTTTTTTCACATTAGCAGCTTAACAGGTTTCTCTCCATCCTATAGACTTTTTTTTTTTGAGACAAAGTCTCACTGTGCAGTTCTGGTTAGCCTAGAACTCACTGTGTAGACCAGGGTGGCTTTGAACTCACAGAGCTCAGCCTACCTCTGCCCCCCAAGGGCTATGATTAAAGGTATGTACCACCACACTTGGCCCTACAAATCTAATTTTTTTCCACTCTTGTCAATTCAGTGTTGTGGGATGGGTGGACCTATATAATACCTGATCAGCTGACCATCATCACATGGTTGCTGTCCTGGCCCTTTCTTTGCTGCCTACTTTGTCTATCCACAAACAGCTTTCTGCTTTGGAGGTGACCTGCTCCCATCCAAGGTCTTCAGTTTATCCTTCCCTTCTTAGTCACAGAGCTCTGTGTGCCATTTCTCCACTTAATCCCCTCCAAGACACATGTAGTTTCCTTGTATTATGTGAAGGATTTAGAAAGCCCTTGCCCAAAAATCTAGGTTTGCTTGCTTGATGTGAGGCAGAAAAGACTTGACAAGGAACTGATTAAAGAGGCCTTGAAATATTCCAAAGATGGCAAAGAGAGAAAGGGGGCAGTACCTAGGGCAGGACTGTAGGGGAAAAGAAGTGATTGTGGTTATAGAAGGGCTGTGCTAGCAGGACCTGGGCTGGGCTCCTGGGCAGTCATGTATACTGAGAGGGCCTCTATTTAGAGCTAAGAGCTCCTTTGCCCTTCAAGCCTGCAGATGGGCACCCTACCACAGCAGGACTGATGGACAGCCTCTTTGCAGTCAACACAGAGGCCATACTCGGCAAGGCCAGGACAGTTCTGGCCATAGAAGACTCACCCGGCAGAGACGGGATGTAAAGATGGCCTTGCACCCACAGACCGGAAGGCCTCATGGCCACCACAGAGATGAGAGTGAGCCACTAGCAGAAGCCACAGCCCAGGATGCAGGGAGGCACCCTTCCCCAGGATGCACGGAGGCACCCTGCCCCATCCAAGGGCTGGGATCTCGGGCTGCTCGAAGGCCCCAAAGGGGTATAGTGTCTACATCTTCCTCAAGGGTTCCTCGCCCTGGTGCCCTCATGCCTGCAACACGAAGCTGCTCAAGATTCATCCACTGTCGGGGTCAGCCTTCTCGGACTCATGTCAACTCCAAGAGACCCAAACGGTCCAGGATTCAGCGGTGCCACACTCTGGTGCCAGGTGAATGTAGAGTGGCCCTGGGACTGGTTCCATTCACCCTCAAGTCGGCCTCAGAGGACCCACCTCAGGAACAGCATTTCATAGGGAGGGAACTAGGCTCACATTAGGCCATGCCAGCCAGACCATAAGAGAAGCTAGCAGAGGTCCACATTACTAGGGACAGTGTACTCCAGGGTCTGAGGGTTCTGCCTGTCCATGCCGTGACCATGGACAGCCAGAGTGCCAGAGTGGGTATTTCCTACACCAACCCAACCTAGGGCAGCCTCTCATCTCCCCTGATTGACCATAGACCCTTGGATCACCCATGATGTCATCAAGGACATTGTGACCCTTGCCCTTTGGGGATATCCCATCATGTCTGCATGGGCTCCTGTCTCACACTACAGCCGACTCCCTGCATGGAGCCCACCCTGCTGGTAAGGAAGGTGGGGGTGGCACCACACTTTTCACTCCCACCACAGTCTCCATACTACATGGATGCTGCCTGTTTCAAGGCTAGTGGGAACTGTCTCTCTTCTTGAGTATAATGGTCCTCAGGCCCCCTGGTCAGGTCTGTGCAGGGCTGAAGAGGGGCCCACAGGGACTGGGTGAGTGCTTAGCAGCTGCTGGCCTGGGCTGGGCTGAGGCAGATGGAGTGGGTACCTCCTCACCCCCAACATGACCCCACTGGTCCTCAGACTGGACCCATGAGAAACGGATGGGAAGCAGTGTCAAGGAGGGGCTCCGGTCTGAGCTAAGCCATCTGGACCAAGTAGCAGGTAGGCCTCCTGGGAGCTGGAAGGGACAGGAAAAACCACACCAAGCCAAAAGCCTGGGGCCTTTGACCACCTACCTATCCATAGACCTTCTTGAGGAAGAAGAAGCTGCCAGGCCTCCAGTGGCCTCCCTGGAGGGGCTCCTGCTGGAAGGAGACAAGCAGCCCAATCCTGGGCAGGGCCCCTTCTTTTATATTGGAGGCACCAATGGGGCTTCAATGTGAGTGGGGCTTGGGTAACTCTGTTCTGCACCCCCACCCCTACTTCAGACCCAACCCTGAGATACTGTTTCTTACAGCCACCCCTGCCTGTCTTCTTCTGGGTACCTCCAGTCACCACAGCTTTCTACCCCACAGAATCAGCAACTACTGTGAGAGCAAGGGATGGCAGCGCACCCAGGACAGCCGCTGTGAGGATTACAAGTTGAAGTGGTGTGAGATCAAGTGCAGGGACAACTACTGCAGCTTCCGGGAAGGTGGGGGGGCACCCTTGAGGGGAGGAGATGTGGCACAGTCTCAAGGGGCTGCCCACATGCCCCTCTTTGTCCTGCCAGGCCAGCAGCTGCTGTTCCAGCTCCCCAACAACAAGCTGTTGACCACCAAGATCGGGCTGCTCAGCGCCCTCCGGGAGCATGCACGCACTCTGAGCAAAGCCAAGCTGCTACCCAGTACCCAGGCCAAGTGAGCCCACCACTTCTGGGGCCCACCTCACCCAGCCCCACATCCATACCCACTTCTGCATCCATTTGTCTCTTAGGACCATCCTCCCCATTCCATGAACTCGCCATTTCCTCTGCAGCCCCTCAGCACTCACTTATCTTATCCAAGATGTCAGTCAATTGCTAGTCTTCACCAACTTCCCCTACAAGTTCCACCTCCCTCCCCACTGATCTGCCTACCAATCTGCCTCCACTCCAAACCTTCCCCACTAACCCCATCCAGAGATCCTTACTCTATGCCCACAATGGCCATCCATGGATAGTCCTTAGTACTCATTGCTCCCATACTTTGCTATCATTTCACCCCTGCCCCTTTCCATCCATCTAGGCATGCCCATCTTCTGTCCTTTACTGCCACCGCTCAGCCAGGCTGAGCAACTCATTGATTACTCACTGATTATTTGCCCAGCCATTCACTCATCCAAACATCCAACCAACTGCCCACCATCTGCCCCTCAAGGTGGCATTCAAACTATGGCCATTCATAAACTATCTTGACATCTGCATGTTCACCTGTCCACTTCCTACTCACTTCTATAAGCAACTCATATTTATTCTTCTACGGCATCTATCTGCCCATCAGATCACCCACTCACCCACCTACCTGCATACCCATCTCACCTCCCATTCTGCAGGCCCCACCCACTCCAAATACTCTGGAAGTAGCTATTCAGACCAGCCTTATATCCCCTTGAGGGTGCAGATTTGAAAAGATATAGCAGTAGCCCCTGAAGAACTCAAATGGACCAACCCAGGATGCCTTGGGTCACAAAGGTAGATATATAAAACCCAGCTGGGAGAGACCAGAACTGAAGATATCTTGGTGTTAGATGAAAAGCAGTTGGGGAGCTGAGATCCATACTGACCATGGTTGTATGCCAGGCACTGTCCCGGCACTAGGGAACCAGATCATGTAGAAGAGAGCAACTGGGAGGGAGAAAGCAGGGAGGTGGGAGAGAGGAGCTAAAGTAGGTTTGGCAGCCAGAAGACTGACAGCTGCAAAGAACCTAGGAGTGTGAAACCCACAAAAGAATGTTCTTCAAGGGCACAGGGTGAACCAAAGGAAATGACTAAGCAGTCTGGAGGACACAAGAGTCCCTAGTGAGTGTCCCTTCCAGCTAGCTCCCAGATCACTGGCCAAGCCTGAGGCAAGAGACAGCCCTCCCCATGTCTTCCCCACCTTCCTGCTCTTCCAAGGGTCCTGAAAATGGAAGAGTTTTTTCCAGAGACCTATCGGCTGGACATCAGGGATGAGAGACAGAACTTCTTCACTCTGTTTGATGGTGAGAGGCCCCTGGGCAGAGCCAGACACACTAGGAAAGGAGACAGGGTCAGGGCTAGAGCCAGGTGGGATGCATGAAGGCAGAGCCAGGCCTAGAAAGGGTGGGGATGAATGGATCTTGAGGGAAAAGGTGAGACTGGGGCTGGGGCCTGGTGGTTGTTAGGGCCTGAAGGTTAGGGTTGTGGCCTTAGGAGAGGTTAGGGGTGTGGCAGAGGCAGAGCTACAGCTGGATTATTGGTGTAGTCAAAGTGAGACATGGGCACAGCCCTGTAAACTGGGTCCAGGCAGTAAAGTCAGGGCAGGACAAGGGTTGGAACCTGGTTAGGGTCTACTTGGAGTTGTCAGGAGTGAGGGTTAGGTATAGTGAGAGGGACAGTCAAGGCTACCATATGTTAAGGGCCAAGGGCAGGGTCAGGGATGGGGAGGGGCAAGGAGTACTCAGGGCCAGAGACTCAGGGGTCACTCCCTGCAGAAACCCAGATATGGATCTGCAAGCCCACCGCCTCCAACCAGGGAAAGGGCATCTTTTTGATCAGGACCCAGGAAGAGGTTGCTGCCCTGCAAGCCAAGACCCAGAGCATTGAGGACGACCCCATCTACTGCAAGATGCCCTTCCGTGCGCCTCAGGCGCGGGTGGTACAGAGGTGTGGGAAAGGTTGCCAAGAAGGGCCTGGGCCTCAGCAGGGATAACCCAGACATGCTGTTGCCTGTGAGTGCTGGTGGTGGTCAGCAGAGCTCCAGAGGAGCCCGTGGCCATAGCAAGCTGTAGCACCTCCAGCATTCATTCAAACTACCTCAAACAGCAAACAGCTGGCTGCACATCCTGTGTAGAGGAAGTGTCACATATGGCTGGGTTGGCAGATAAGACAGCCTCTAAACACGGACTCTATGGAGGGGTGGTCAGGGAGGGCTTGGTTCATTTGTCCCTTATCCTGAAGCCATCTTCCCTGCTCTCCAGCCCAGCCGGCCAGCTACAGCCTGAGTCTGCAGCCCAGAGTTGATCCCATGGCTCATCTGCCTACAGCTTAGGTTCAGATCCTCAGCTTCACGTGGGACTGGGAGGGAAAGCTCAACTTTAGCCTTAGAAAAGTCCCAATGGATCCTCACTCTCTGCTAGTATGGACCTTTCTCTGGCCACAGCTACTGTCTACTGCCCTCCCCTCCCATAGGGCCTTCCCAAGTAGGCTGTTCCCTACCTAGATTGCCCTCTCTTCTCCAAAGCTATTCACCCTTCGTGGTCCAATGTCAGCTTTCCTCCTCAGACAGTCCTCCCTACCACAGGGGCCCAAACTGCTCCCACAAGGTCCCTAGTAGGAGCTTCACCTTGGGGTGGCCCACATACTTGCAGTGGGTAGAGATTTAGGTACCAGGCCCTCTTCCCAATTCCCCTGCCCTGTTCAGACTCAGAAATGTCCCCTGATCGTGGACATTTTGCTCAGCCAGAGGTTACTCCTCTGACACATGGGAGGCCCATGTGGGGGTGACAAACCTAGGCCAGCTGGCCAGGCAGCTCAGCCCCAGGTGTCCTTATGGTAATCCATAGGTATGTCCAGAACCCACTACTGCTGGATGGTAAGAAGTTTGATGTGCGCTCCTATCTGCTCATCGCCTGTGCCATGCCCTACATGGTTTTCTTTGGCCATGGCTATGCTCGCCTCACCCTCAGCCTGTATGACCCTAATTCCAGTGACCTCAGTGGCCACTTGACAAATCAGGTAAGGACCCCTTATAGGAGAGGCTCTTCCCTATAGGTGTGGATAAGGTTAGAAGGAGACTCCTACTGGTTGGGAATAGTTATGGACAGCCCAGGCTTAGAAGTGACCTGGCAGCCCCTGCCCACCTCTTGCCACAGCAGGGACTCAGGTTCCTGCAGAAGCACCTTAGAGCCAGCAATCCCCAGATCAGTTTGGTGTGCTGATCAAGGGCCTAATGGGATAATCTGGAGCAAGGGGTTCCTTGTGAGTGTCTGTGGGGACTTGCTGATTAGGGATTGGCAGGGGATAAAGGTGTATGTAGGAGGGTCTCATAGGCAGGTCCCCCACAAGGACTAGGTAACAGAATTTCTGTGGGGTCCTAGGATCAGGGTAAAGCTTTCATGGGGTGATTCCTTCAGAGGGTGACCTCTTGCTGTAGTTTATACAGAAGAAGAACCCCCTGTACATGCTGCTGAAGGAGAGCACCGTGTGGAGCATGGAGCACCTCAACCGTTACATCAATGACAAGTTCAGGAAGACCAAGGGACTCCCCAGAGACTGGGTCTTCACCACCTTCACTGTGAGTCTGGCTTTGAGTCCGGATCTGGGATCTCTGTGCGTGTGTGTTGCCCCATAGGCTGGGCTGGGAACATGGCTTGTCCTGAGTACTTGGAGCATGTGTAGTTGGGCTGAAGTCATACCTAGCAGTTTCAGCTGTCATTTTCAATACCATGTTGAAGTTGCAAAAACTGACATCATTGTATTTCTTGTGATATGAGGGAAAGGCTTACAAATTGCCTTTTTTCCCTAGTTTGCTAAGTATTTTTTAAGATAGGATGTTGAATTATGTAAAATGCTGCTCCTACAGCAATTGACATGATCACCTGTTATTTTTCCTTTATTCTATTCAAGTGTATTGATTAACTTTCATTATTCTTATGTTTCTGGGATAAATCCCACTTGGTAACAATATATAATTTAAATATGCTTCTGCATATTTGATTGTGTTTTAAGAATTTTTGTGTTTTGCCAGGCATGGTGGCACACACCTTTGATCTCAGCAGAGACAGGTGGATTTCTGAGTTCAAGGCCAGCCTGGTTTACACAGTGAGTTCCAGGCCATCTGGGGCTATATAATGAGATCCTGTCTCGGAAAAAAAAAACAAAACTGTGTCTATGCTCATAAATAATACTTATCTATAGCTTTTTTTCCTTGCATGTTTCTATCTGATTTTAATATCAAGGTATATCAGCTTCCTTTTACTATAGCAAATATCTGACATAATCAACTTATTTAAAGAAAAGGTTTATTTTGGCTCAGTTTCAGAGTTTTCAGCCTATAACCATTGACACATTGCTTTGGAGCTGTGGCACTACTTAGTACTAAGAAAAGGCAGCAGAGCAGAATTGCTCACCTCTTGGCTGGGAATGGCCGCGAAATGAAAGAAAAGGGACTGAGGACTCAATCTGCTGCAAGGAAATTTTTCCAATGGTAAAAAAACCGTCCACTCAGCCCCACCTCTTAAAGTTCCCACCCACTCCCAAACGCACTCATCTAGAAACCAAACCTTGTAACACATGTCTTTGAGGCCACATAAAATTCAAACTATATGGGAGGCAGAGTCAGGTGGATCTCTGTGAGTTTGAAGCCAGCCTGGTCTACATAGTGAGTTTGAGGCCAGCTGGGGCTATGGGGAGACCTTGTCTTAAAAAGACCCCCCCAAAAAAATAAAATAAAATAAAAATTCAAACTGTATAGCACAGGATAATTGTTCACCTTTTGAATTGGAACATATTCCCTCATCTATATTTTGCAGAGTTTATGATGAAGTATTAGGGCACATGTTCCTAAATGTTTCCAAGAGTGATAGTTAGCATTCAACTTGATTGGATTGAAAGACATCTAGGCTAGTAAAGCAGACCTCGATGTGTCTGGAAGGCATTCCAAGAGATGATTATGACTTAATCAATGATTATGGTTTAATTCATTGATGGATTCATTTTTTTGTTGTTGTTTTGTTTTTTACACAGGGCTCACTATGTAGCCCTGGCTGGTCTGGAACTCATTATGTAGACCAGGCTGACCTCAGACTCACAGACATCCTTCTGCTTCTGACTCTCAAGTGTTGAGATTAAAGGTGTTCACCACCATGCCTACCTTTATTCTAATTTTTAATTATGTGTATATGTGTGTATGTGAGTGCAGTGCCTCCAAAGCCCAGAGAAGGCATTGGAGCACTTGGAGCTGGAGTTACAGATGTTTGTGAGCCTCATGATGTGTTAGAAACCAAGCTTGGGTCCTCTGCAAGAGCAGTATACCCTCTTAACAATGAACCATCTCTCCAGTGCCCCAGATTATTTTTAAATTTTTTTGTTTGTTTTTTTTGTTTTTTGAGACAGGGTATTACTATCTAGTCCTGGCTGGCCTGGAATTCACAGAGATCCACCTGCCTCTGCCTCCCAAGTGCTGGGATTAAAGGCATGTATTACTATGCCTGACTAGATTCAAACTTTGAATAGACTATAGGGAAGTGGTAGAGCTAAGGAAGATGGAGCCTGGTTGGAGGAGGTGGGTTGTTGGGAGCATGCCTTTAAAGGTTATAGCTTGTCCCTGGTCCCTTCCTGTTATGCTTTCCAACCACCATGAAGTAAGTGAACAAGCTCTGCCACATATTCTTTGTTCAGGGTCCGTAAAATTCCCTAAATTGACCACTCGGACACTGAGTCTCAGTAAAAAGGAGCACTTTATTGGAGCCAACCGGTTGGGGACAGTCTCGGGAGCTGTACTGTGACCCTGAGCAGTGAAAACGCAGGGCTTTTAAGCAGAAAAACCACAAAAACGACAAAGCAGGGGATGTCCACAGAAACTGCACACAGAATAACCAGGAAAGGATTGGAACAATCTAGGGGTGATTTCCAGAGACTTTACCTATACAGCCATTGGCTATCTTACCTGGGGCAGAACGGTCTTTCTCTTCTGCCCCAGATTATTCCCATAGAGACCATACACAGATGTATCAAGTATACTGTCACTGGCTAACTCACCTGGGACTGAACGTTCTATCTCTTCTGCCCCAGACCATTTCCATAGAAATCATAAACAGATACCAGGAAAGGGTTTGAACAATGGAGGGGCTTTCCAGAGTCAGGTGGAGGGCCGCTTTTCCTCAGAGGACAGGGAGGGAGTCTGAGGGGCACTCTCCTTCATTCTTGTTCCCAGGATATTCTGCTCTTCCCAAAGCTGAGCAATCACAGACTGAATCTTCTGAAACCATGAGCGAAAATCTTTCCTTTGTGAAGAGATAGCTCAGTAGATAAGAGCACTTTGTGCTCTTGCAAGAGGCCTCAGCTTTGGTTCCCAGCACCCATATTATGTGGCTTACAACCACCTGTAACTCCAGATTCAGGGGATCCAACATCCTCTGGCCTCTGCCAGCACCTGCAGACATGTGGTGCATATAAACTCATGCAGGTACATAACATATATACAAAAATAAAAACAGGGACTGGAGAGATGGGTCAGTGGTTAAGAACTCTGGTTGTTCTTGAAGAATACCTGGGTTTAAATCCCAGCACCCACAAGGCAGCTAACAACTGTCCATAACTCCAGTTTCAGAGAATCCGATGGCCTCTTCTGTCCTCCGAGGGCATTGCATGACATGGGTGCATGTACCTACATGCAGGCAATACACACATACACATAAAATAAAAATAACAAAAAAATAGCCAGGCATGGTGGCACACACCTTTAATCCTAGCACTTGGGAGGCAGAGACAGGCGGATCTCAGTGAGTTCAAGGCCAGCCTGGTCTACATAGTGAGTTTCAGGACAGCTGGGGCTACAGGGAGACCCTGTCTCAAAATGACCGGAAAGAAAAAAAAAACCCAAAAATAAAAACAAAACGACAAGGACCAGGTGAGGTGGCACATGCCTTTAATCCCAGCACTTGAGAGGCAGATGTCTGTGAGTGGTAAGTTCCCATGCTAACTAGAGCTACAAGGAGACCCTGTCTCAAATCAATCAATCAAGCAAGCAAGCAACAAAAACCCAAATCTTAAAAAAAAACTTTAGAGCCGGGCGTGGTGGTACATGCCTTTAATCCCAGCACACATAAAATAAAAATAATAAATAAGGGGCTGAAGAGATGGCTCAGCAGTTAAGAACACTGACTGTTCTTGCAGAAGACCCGGGTTTGAATCCCAGAACCCACATGGCAGCTAACAACTGTCCATAACTCCAGTTCCAGGGGATCCGACAGCCTCTTCTGACCTCCTCAGGCTTTGCATGACACCAGTGCACTTACCTATATGCAGGCAATATGTGCACACATAAAATAAAAATAATAAATAAAATTTTTTAAAAAACCTCTGCTTCCGTATGTCATCCATCTCCTCTCCTGGCAACCTTTCTGCTGGCCTCTATAATTTATATTGCTTCTCTAACATTCTTTGTTTAGTGAGACATCATCTCAACTTTCCTTTGTTCTTTCAAAAGGGGTCAGACATGGTGGCACATGCTTTTAATCCCAGCACTGGGGAAGCAGAGAGATCTCTGAGTTCCAGGCCAGCATGGTCTACATAACAAGTTCCTGGTCAGCCAGGCTACATAGTGAGACCTGTCTAAAAAATAGCAGGGGGGCGGGGGTTTCCAACAAACCACCACAAATAGGTTCAATTATTTGCAAATAGTGGGATGGGAAAACTAAAGCAACTTGGAATGCTATAAAATGCTCCGTTCTTTTTTTTTTTAATCTTTTTGAGACAGGGTCTCCCTGTAGCCTACAGCTAGCCTGGATTCACTATGGAGACCAGGCTGGCCTCGAACTCACAGAGATCCACCTGCCTCTGCCTCCCGAGTGCTGGGATTAAAAGTGTGCACCACCATGCTGGGCAAAATGCTCCATTCTTAACAAGAGTTCTCACATCCTAGTTGTCTATCTCTCCTGCTGTGTGTTCTTCAGTTTTGGATCTTAGTACCTGACTCATAGTAGGAGCGCATGAATTTTTTTTTAATTTTTTTATTTTTTGTCTTTTTGAGACAGGGTCTCCCTGTAGCCCCAGCTGTCCTGGAACTCACTTTATAGACCAGGCTGGCCTCAAACTCACAAAGATCTGCCTGCCTCTGCCTCCCAAGCACTGGGATTTAAAGGCATGCGCCACCACGCCAACCAGGAGCCCATGATTTTGTTGAATGAGTTTCTCACTGTGAGCCTGTGACTGAGCATGTGAAAGTGTGGGCAGCTGCAGTTGTGCAGTTGAGAGTTGTGGCTGACCATTTGCACCTAGGTTTAATCTGGGCCAACAGGTGGCAATCAGGATCCTTCTCTTCTTCACCCACAGAAGCAGATGCAGCAGATCATGGCCCACTGCTTCTTGGCTGTCAAGTCCAAGCTGGAGTGCAAGCTGGGTTACTTTGACCTCATTGGCTGTGATTTCCTGATTGATGAGAACTTCAAGGTGCTGTCTTGGGAAGATGAGGTCTGGTAGGCAAGTGCAAAGAGGCAGGGCCCAACTGTACACTGACCACACAAGCAGGCTGAGTGAGTGTACTGTACTTGTATGCAGAGCCCTGGTCTAAGATATGTCCATAAAGCTCAGCTCCTACTGAAGCTGGGCAGCCCTCAAAAACAGACCCTCAGGGCCTTAACCCCTGAGCAAGCAAGGGGATCTACGCCGTGGGAAAGAACAATCTGCCCAGAGTTACATGGCTTCATAGGGAACAGGGCCCCAGCTTCCTACTGGCCAAGTGGGCTGCAGGTGGGAGGGAAAAGATGCTGACCACTGTCTGCCACAGGTGTGGCTGCTGGAGATGAACTCCAATCCTGCCCTACATACCAACTGTGAAGTCCTGAAGGAGGTGATCCCGGGAGTAGTCATGGAGACCCTGGGTGAGCCCTGGGTAGCCCCACACCCCAACTTTCCCATATACTCCCTTCTCTTCCAGTCCTGGGTGCACCATCTTCCTTATCCCCAACTTCAGACTCCACAAGTCTGGGATTCCAATATCCCACAGTCTGCATGGTAGCCAGTACTTTGCTCCTCACCACCTGGGTCCCACTTCTCAAGGCCCCCCTCTCTGCCTCCCCTGTTTCCAGACATGATGGGGAGGTTGCTCCCCTCCAACCCACACCCTCCTCCACTCACCCCCTCCCTCCCTGCAGACCTGGCTATTGAGACCTGCCAGAAGAGCTTGTACAGTCAGAAGATGCTGCCTCTGCTGTCGCAGCGCCGTTTCGTGCTTCTATACAACGGCGAGACAACCGACCAGTGGACGCGCATGGGGGGCCTGCGCACCTTCTCCCGGCCACCGCCGCCG